CTTAATCACTGTAATAAAGTAAATGTACAGTATTTTGTTACTATACACCTCTGGTTTTGTGCTCACCCAGCTGTATTTATGATGGGCAGTAATGCAAAAACATAACCTGGAAATATAATATTTTTTTCTGCTGTCACAMTCATAAAAAGCAGCTGAAAGCAGTTTAGAGGTTCATTAATCCCGTTGTGCTCACTCACTTTGCATCGGGGAGAAGAAGACCTCAGACATGGGTGCAGCTTTGGTCCATTTGTACTGAGGGGCAGGTTTTCCGTGCTGGGACCTGCAGCTCAAAGTTACGTTGCCTTTCACCACCGGGTTTCCCGTCAGGCTGCACTCCGGAGGCGAGGGWGGAACTGGACGGACAGACAGACAGGGTTATTGATTTGAACATGTCCTTTTGTTTTAATCCACGGCTTCGGCASTGCAGAGATTTCTCAGGGCCAGTGGCCAGATTGTTTAAAAATTAAGCAGATATTTCAGYCCCTCCCCCTCCCCTCTAGTTTCCATCTGCTTCTGAAAGATGACAGTTCTCTCAGAGCTCATTGAATCCCTTAACAGCAGATGAGTTTTATTTGGGCAGTGCTTTCGTAATATATATATATTTTTTTCCAACGGACACTTTCAATCCAAAATCCCTCAGAACAGCCAGCTTTTCCTCGGCCCGAGCTCGAGTTTCGCCGCCCGACCCTTCCTGATTACATTTCACCTTTGAAGGTCCTCTTGGCGCCGCAGACTGTGTTACCTTTGACGTTAAGCCGCATCTCTCCGGTCAGGCCCTGCTCTCCGGGGACGATGACGTGGCACATGTAGTGACCCGAGTCCGTTTCCTGGGTGTCGTTGATGTAGATGGACAGGTTGGCTGAGGGCATGGCCACGCTGAAGCCCACCCTCTTGGTGAACTCGTTTTGACCGTGTCCCACTTTACCTGAGCTGAAGTTTATCACCTGCCCCCCAAAAAGAAAACAAGACAGGAAAACTCTTCAGAAAGTTCCAAACGATATCATACCTGTTTTAAAGCAGGGGCTCTCAAACCTTTTGGGTCTTGGGACCCCTTACAATGGGGAAAAGAAAAAATAAAATTCCAGGGACCCCCTCATAAACCCCATGCTGTTTTAAAAGATAATTCATTGTCGTTTCAACCCCTAAATGCCATGGGAATATATTTGTTTATTATGTTTGTTTTATTTGTTCATTGTTCTTTATGCATTTGAAAAAAAAAAAAAATTAACAATTTCGTGAAATTTTTTGAGGACCCCCAAAATGTCTCTCACAGATCCCAGTGTGAGAACCTTTGTTTTAAAGTACCTGTGACATGTATATCCTTCAAATACAAAAAGTCAAAGAAAACCTCTATATTCATAACACACACGGTTTTACCCATTTTGTTACATAACTGGCATATTTTCTTTTGAACTCAGCTCCGCCAAAGTAAAACAGGAAGTGACATCAAAGGGGATCTTTTGAAGAAAGGGAACTCCCTGGTCTTTGTTTATCGAAACAATAATATTTGAACTCTGACTCTCTCATCTCTCTAATAATGACTCAAAACAACCTAAAGAAACATCATATTTCTCTCCACGTTCTTATTGTAGCAATGCTCTGTTAACATGCAGACACTCCCCTCTGACATCACTTCCTGTTACTTCACGTGCAAATATTTTAACTGTTCATCTCAATGGCATGGATTTGTTTTTGGCAATATGTTATCAACGTAATATAAAAAAAACCACAAATATTTAATAAAAGAATGATGTCACATGCACTTTAAAATATTAATTGTATTTTGACCCAGAATTAGTGGAAGGAAACAAACATTTATYTTCCGGCTGAGCCGTTTTCACAAAACAGTTCAACGTTAATGCGTATTTTCATTGACGGGAACTAGTTTTAATTCTGTTTGCAGTAGCCATGGGAAGATGTGCAGATTAACAGCAGAAACTGACATCCATGAAGATTATCCTGATATGTACAGATGGTGAAACTTAGGCTGATTTTCTYTTGGAGATAAGCTCGGACGCATCACACAGTGAATTTGTTTAGATTAGATTATGCATGTAAACACACATACTACACATTCAAATGTGTAGAGGTTCACTGCATGGAAGCAGTGCAGCTAAAAGTGGAATTCTTTCTCTTCTTCTGCTTTGACGTGATGTGTGATGTTTGCAATACCTGGACAAACAAATTGATCCATCCATTCCTTATCTCTCAAGTGGACATATTCAAAATCCACTTTTGTAGCCATTAAATACATTTCCTTGTGTACGCTGAGTCTCTAGGAGTATAGGAATTTAGTCTCTCCCAGTGTTCCATAGCTTTCCTTTATTCTGCATCCTCATCCCCAACCTGGAGTGGACAGTCCATCCTTTTCCATTCAGAGGACTGGTGATGTTCTGATGATATAATGATTAAAGGCCTTAAAAAGTGGGAAAAAAATATTCCTTAGGCTTTCATTGAGCAGATGTAAGACAGCGAACTGAAACTAATTTTACWATTTTTAACAAGTATCCTGCTAAAGCTGTTCAGTTTGTGGTTTTAGCCAAGCTTTTTGATTGTACGTTCAGTGAACTTTGCGATAGCACTCAAGAGGATCAACAAAAGCAGTTGAGTGTATTTTATTGTAATTCCTTTAAAGTGGCTCTTTTTCCGCCCCAACACAGAGATGTCAGACCAGGGTCACCGGAAAACCACGGTTSTGTAGGAGGTTTCAAAAGCTGACGGAGATAGTGAAACGAGGCGACACACTCATCAAAAGCTGCAATGAAATTATTGGTGTCACAAATTAACCAGAATGATTTCCAGGTTTAAAAACTGCCTTTAGACTTGGCAGTAGTTTAATAAAGTTTATATTTACTTTTCAAGTTTTACAATCCGTACCCCAAACTTACAGTTCTACCTCAGCTTAAGTGGGATCTCCTCACCTGTTTGGACTCGTTGCGTGTAAACTGCCAGACGACAGAGTTTAGGGAGATGTCAGAGCTCGGGCTGTACCAGGCCTGAAGCACCACCATCTGACCTTTCACCACCTCCATCTCTTTGCTGGGCATCTCCACCTTCTTAGTGTCACCTGGAACAAAAACACAGGTGGTTCGGGCCTTTAGTTAAATATCTGCCGGTGAGAGATTTATAATCCGTGGCAGCCTGAATATTTCAGATGTAAAGTACTTTTTATCAGGCTCATAAATCAGACCATTTCTGACCAGTTTACATTGTTTTTAGTTTTTTTTAAAAAAAAGGGACTTAAGAAAATCTGCATTTTGCAAAAACACGACTAAAAATGTTGGTAGATTAAAAGCACAGTGTGTAGAATTTGTTGTTTTCAGCGACATCTAGTGGTTGAGTGGTTGAATCATCCTCCCTGGTCCTCCCCCCACCCCCTCCCCTTCTTCCAAACACAAAGGAGTTGCTACGGTGTCTCTCAGGTGTCAAAAACCTTTGATAATTCCAACCGCGATGTCTACCAGCAGCTTCAGGGCTAGTGATGTTTCAAGTGGTAAGATTATGAGCTTTAATAAGTAAAATTATCCCAGCTACAATGACAGACAACAAATATTACATTTATAGTATTACAACTAAAACTGTTTTTGAYGCCGCCACCGCAGTTTGTCCTTCATGAGCCTTCGTAGACAAGATGGCGGCTGCCTGTATTGGCGACCTGCGACCATGGAGATATAAACAGCTTTTTATGAGGTAAAAATAATAAAACAAAGTCTTTGTCTGCAATGATTAGACGTGTTTTTTTATTATTGTCATTAGTGATTATCTCAATTTCGGCTAAAAGATTTGACAAAATCCTACACACTGTTCCTTTAATCATTAACTAGCTCAATAATTATTGTTTAATCAGCTGATTATCTTTGAGTATAAAGTATAAAGTAGGGCTGCACAATATTAGCAAAACCTGTGATGTGTGACAGTGCTTAATATTGCTATGATGATATGATTTGCGATAAATGAACAAATACACAAGTAGTGTTGATGTCTTTCTGCTATGGGTACAGAGCAAAACAATAACAAAAAAAACCAAACAAATAAATTCCATTCCTTCACGATTTTTTAAGAATATGAAGAGATCCATCCAATTGGCCAAACACATGAAGAGCTCCATTTGATTGGTGAAATACTTCAAGCTTCTGTCTGAGTGAYGAAACTCGTAAATGTAAACTTTTGAYCCAACCATTTCTTGCACTTTACGCAKTTTGCGATATGCATACTGCACAGGCTGTTATCRTGATGACGCTAATTTTTTTGATATATTGTGCAGCCCTAGTTTAAAGCCAGAAAAATAAAATCTGCATAATGCCACACGCCTCATGTATTAGGCCACAAAAACGGTCACATATGACAAGTAACGTGCAAGTTTTGGTTTTCAAAAGCCGGGTGGGCGTGGTTTGTGAAGCAGATAAGTCAGCTGAATGTCCCCGTCAGATCCGGCAGCTAAACTGGTGAAACCACAAGACTGAAGGAAATAAAACAAACAATTTACTCTTCATTTAGAAAGAAGCTCCTCCCTTCCCTGCTCGTCTTTTCAKCTACCCGGGTCTTCACCCAGTTGACTCAAAAGGAACGCGGCCAATTAACTGACTTTAAAACCTCTGTGTTTATTTTTGCTTTTAGTTAAATTATATGCTTTAAAAGGTAAATTACACTATAGGATCACAAACCATGGAAAAAAAAATATATATATATATTTTCGGAAAATAAAGGACTCTTTGGTTTCCATTATGTTTAAAATATATGGATTTACTTGGTTTATTCACAGATTTTTTTTCTTTTTCTTTCTCGTATATTATTTGGCATGAATATGCCTAAAATAATCTTTATTCTCTACCATATAAAACAAGCAAGCAACCATAAATATGACAAATATGGAACTTTCCAAATTTCAATCTCAATTATATACTGTAGTTTAAGTTATTACCATTTAAGGCTTTACTGCTGAATAACTTTAGTTTGTTGACAAATTAAAAACTTAGAAATAAATCAAGAACTAATTAAGAATGAACATTTATTTAAACTTACTACAGAGCAGATCTCTACAGAACAATTCAATATTAAAAGCTAAACATATGTAGTGTAATTGGATGTTAAAAGGACAAGAAATTCTTGATTAGAGGAAAAAAACATACTAACTTACTGAGAAAAGAAAATTTAACTGTGACAAACCCACAAGCTGCTCACAACAATCCACACCAAACAAGAGGAATAAAATACTGAAGCAACAATCAGAGACGAGGGTTGTGGAACTCACAGGGAGCCCAGTCACCTGAACCAGCCAGCTGAAGCTGGATCAGATGATCCCAGCAGTCCATCTCTACCACAGTCTCCAGTTTGAAGCTCGGCTCAAGAGCTGAAGGAAGAAATGAAAGCAGAGYCGCTGCCTCTCGGTGGCAGGGAGGAAAACAGAGTCCTCATGTGAGGATCACGGCTGGGCAGGGATGAAAGAGAGAGTGAAAGCATCCGCAGACAGACTGGCTGAGATCCCCACGTCTGTTCAGCCGGACGGACGCGCCGCACCTTCCTCCGTCTGCAGGCTGACGGGGAGGGAAGACCAGAGAGCTGGAGGCTCCCGGCAGGAGGAGGAACGCACAGAAACAAGAAGCTGTAACTTTAAAGTCTCAAAGCTTCAGTCRTCAAAATGAGGACAGCGTGGACGTTCTTAATCTCCACTAAACCATTTTCCCTGGGTATCTTTGATTTATTTATTTATTTTATCATTTATAAACACGTGATCTCTGCTGAGTCTGGATGTTAGCTGGAAGACTTTCTGTAAAAGTTTGAAAATGAGACATAAAAAGACAAACACATAATAAAAACAATTAAAGTTCAAAAATAATTTGTATTTTTATTAGGACCTTGTTGTTGTGACTTCCTGTCTATTCTGTAGCACAACCCTGAGCCTAAACCAGTTCACCTCAGCCCTGAACCTAACCCAAAAATATTGGGATTAGACCCAGGCTTTGGTTCCCATATGAACTGGTCCTGACAAGATAAGAGATTACATCAGAAAATAACCTAAAGAGGAATTAAAACGCCTAGATAGGGAGTCAGCATGTGTCTTGAAAGGAATAATTGTATCAATTTGCCCATAAAACAGAGGACACATTTTCTGTTTTTTAAAATGCTAAAAGTCTAATTTCTTCACATGATWAATTGAGAGGAGAAAATATTTGTTAGTTAGCAAAATTATGAACCACTGCACAGATTTTGTCTGATTACCTTGTGAATTTAACCAAATTCAAGATGGCTGCCAAGGCTAATCAACTTTAAGGGAAAAAAGGCTTTTATTTTGAAAAGAGTCCAGATATGAAGCTTATTTTTGAATGTATGTTTTTAACATGGAGCCCTGTCAAAGACAATTTTCTGTCACCCTTGGAACAGACAATAAAGTCTGTCTGTCTGTCTGTCTATGTTGGAATATGCGATGGGGATGACTTTCAGCTACCCACCAGGAAGTAACATTGTGTTTTTATTCAAAACGTTATCTTAAAAGGTGAAAAACCGATACTTTCACTCATTTAAATTAAATTTATTAAATTTATTAGAATTTCACTGATGAGAAAACTACTCAAGTAAAAGTCATAAAACTGTTCACAAAAATTGRGAAAGTAAAAGTACTTTTACACACTCTCTAAGAAATAAACTGTTGAATTTACTGAACCGAACTGGTTCCACTAAGCCAGGTTGAGTAAACTGAGCAATATATGTATATTCTTTGCTCAGTTTACTCAASTAGACTTAGTGGAACCAGTTGACAAGACTTTGAGTAAATTCAACACGTCATTTTTTAGAGTGCAGAAACATCTTTCATGATGAGTTCGAACATATTTAATTTTGTAATGAGTAACCATGTGTTACATTTTAAAGTAAAGAAGTAAAAGTATCATTTTTAGCTTTAAAATGTATCAAAATAAAAGTAAAAGTAGCTTCTTAAAAATGGTAAAATTACAAATCCTCAAAAAAAACCTACTTAAGTAC